GAATTTTGGAACGCTTTCTTCTCATCGCATCTTTGTGTTCGCTGATCCTCGCCTTGGGGGATCTATATGTCTCTGCAGTACTACTCCTGCGACTGTTAATTTTATAAACTTCAATTTTGTACGAACTACCTGTGAGGTTCAACTTTTTGTACAGAAGGGAACCAAGCGAGTTGTGCGAAGAATTCGCAAGCCCCGCTATTGCAGGTAGCGTCCAAGAGCCGCAGAAATACCGAGATTGAACGGGATGGGGATAAGAGATGATTTTTGCTCCGGATTACTGTTGAAATTATATCTGTGATGAAAAAGTATGGAGTTAAGATTTGAAGCAGACTATCCATTTTAGCGCCATATCCTACTTAAGAAATTGAACTATTTTGATAGGTACACGGGGTCAGTGCTCCATCTTGAGCTCGTAATCGCATTATTAGTTATATTACAGAAGACGAGGCGGTGTGTAATGTGTTAGTGGTGCAATGTAGTTATCCGTTAGACCTTTTAAAAGGTAAAATCGATATCGAAGCTTAGAAATTTATGGTTTATTAAAATCAAAAAAGCAGTTATTTTTTGATATTTCAAAAATGAACATTATCCGCCTCCTTGGGATCTGTTCCATTGAAAATATAAATAAAGCTATTCTAAACGATGCGGGAAGGGCGATTCGGAATAAAGCTGTCATCATCGGTCTACATTAAAGGAATATAGGTATATAGATTACATTTTCATTCTTGGGGGTCAGTAGGAAAACTTCACGTCGATGACAGGAGCAACTAAGTTCGTTGGATGAAGTTTGATGGAAATTGAACGGGAAACAATGATAAGTACAGTAAAAATTGAGCTCTGTATCTATGAGATATGTAGAATGCGCTAAACTGCAAGGGTGTTCATGAACATTTTTGCCAAAGGAAGCGCTTGCATGTATGATTTCATCAGTACTGCTTATTTTTGGTAGTAAAGAAAATCAGGGTAATTATTGTCGGAAAATTTTATTGCTTCTACGAAGGATATGGTCGTGAATTCAGCAAATGAACTATTGTCGTTGTGCCCGTACAATTTTCGCGTGTGGCAGACAGTTATATGAGTATATTCGTATATTCGTATTAAAATTCTTGTTTTTTTATCTTACGCCGCTTTTTCTTGCTCCTGAGCAATTTATTTGAACAAATGCACGAAAGTGCCACCTCGAAAAAAAGCGGATGCTGCCTTAACGTCCAGACGTCTGTGAACTCGCTTTTCGACTCAGCAGTTTTTCAAACGTGGCAGAATAATAACCACAATAGTAACATGTTAGAGTGGAATTGTATGATTCATTCTCGATTCGCTCATACGTCTGCAACTGAAGGAAGTTCAATGATGAATTCTACTGTCTGCCACATGCCTGTCGAAGTCGTTAACGAGGAGTCTGATTGAGGAGTGCTGTTTCTCTAGATAACCGGTTCTGAGCACCTGTGAGTGCGAGTTGCGACTGCACTGAAAAGATTTGTCTGTTTATGACCATTTGTGACCATTGATTGATATGGCCATTTAGACTCCAGTTCACGGCCAGGGGTCTGAGACCATGATGTTAGCTGGATTGTATGTAAGCTCGTTCGTTTCTGGACCAGATTTTTTATCGTTGAAAGGACGGTGAGACAAGGTGCTCAAATAGAGCATGATCACAGAATTTGTGCACCGCATGTTGATCACCGACCAGCTGTTGGTTACAGGCAATCTTCACCTTTGAGGAACCTCGAAATAGAAATAACGGTAAATGAACGGTTCAGTGGATCGACCTCCTTTCTTTTCTATTTTCTAACCTATTATACAAAATATGTGCTCGAGCTTAAATTAAAACTTTGTTACATCTGGTAGTTAATTTTCAAAAACAGCATAGGTAGAATCATAGTTTGAACTACCTGTTTGGAGTGAATTTCATGGTTAAGTCTTATCAGTGTAGTTAGGAAGGTTGAGCGAGGTAGTCATGGCCGTGTATTTAAAGTTCAGCTTACATTCCACGCAGTTCAACAGCCGGCCGGTGAGGATCAGTGACGAGTCATGAGGAGGCCGATGCATGCGCCAAGGGAAGTAATCAAGAGCGGATGACGACGACCTCTGGTCGTCGTGCGCCAGGTAACAGATCCGTGGTCGTTCCGCATAGCCGTACCAGACGCACAGGACGTTCCTACGGTTGAGACACAGACGATGGCAATCGTTGGCCGAGCGAACGTCCATGTGGCGTTCGTCGAACAACACCGACGAGGCGTCGTACTCTTGACTTCCTATTTCGAACGTGCAGCTTTTCTCGTCCAGCACAGCTGTAAAAAATAAACACCTCGTTACCTCGTTATAATACTTTGCACTGTTGCTCGAGCATGGTTATCAGAGACTGAATTGAACGGACACGACACTACTGTAACGTGTAAGTAATAATTTTTTAACAGACAGGGTAAAGTAAAATTAGCCGAAAATATGGAGACTTTGTTACGGCTCAGAGTCTTTAGGCTCGAGCCTGTTGGTTGCTGCTTATGTCCACAATTTCATGAATAGCTTTGGTATAATCCGGGGGTGATTGTCGACGCTTGAGGTGCTTTCCATAGCAGGTGCTGAAATAGCATGGAACAGTGACCTTCTCAAAGGGCTCCTTAAGCGCCTGAAAGCAACTAGACGGTCTGAACGTGAACTGATGATCCAATGAAGTGACACTGCTGACTGTGATGATTCTTTGTTGAGTTCTCAGGCCAATACGAATCTACAGCCGAAGTGTTAGGAAAAATCTGCGTAAAGTGAAATGCATTTGCGAATCACATCATTTTCCTAGCAGACCTCGTCGAATCTGCGACATCACTATTCTTAACTTCGAAAAAGAGGTCGTGTGGTCTTATTTGGGTCTTCGATTAACTTACGAAGACGCAGTGGGTGGAAATTGCTGTAAGGTAGATAAACGCTTGTCTGACCCTTGACTCCGGAGCATCTGCTGCAGACAGGCGAGTGAAAAACGAAGTTAAGAGACCCTGCATTTTGGTATGAGCAGCCGGCAACAAGTTATTCGAACTCTACAAGGGCAAAGACGTTGGCAGTAGTATCGAACCAAGAATAAGGTTGAGTGAAACCAGAAGACATAAAGTGAGGGAATTGAAGACGTTTAGATGAATATTAGGAGTGACGTGGTTGGATCCGGTATCACACACTATTGTAAGAGAGAGAATAGAATATTTAACTAAAATGACCGACTAACTTCAAGCAGGGCGCATAAGATGGTGGGGTCATTGCCAACGAACGAACACAGAGCCTGATGGCAGGCGAGAAGCAGCAGGAGATCCTAATAAGGAGAGAGGACCTCATTGGAACGGAAATGACATCGAAGGGACTGAAAAGTGAGCATCAATCATTCGGTCCCGCTGGACTGTTTGTAGGACACCAGGTGTCGCTGATGCAGTCGAATAAGAAAACAAATATTCTAATGGTATCCAAAGAAACTGTGTAAGTTTTAAAATCGCTACCGACCTCATGTGTTTATTTGCATGAGTTTGTCCTTTGTCTCAGTGAGGAGGCCAAGGGTGCGGTCTGTAAACAAACTCTTGTCATGGTGGTTAGATCCGTCAAACATATACATCTCTGAAACATAGGATTAACGCAAACAAGGGCAGATAACTGAAACAGGCATGCTGAACAATTTAAACGATGATGACGCTAATATTTGGAAGCGATCAATAAAAATAATAATGAGTGAGCCGACGGTTGTAAAGTAATATATGTACTGAATTTTGAGATCACGTGTCACATCGATCGCATGGCAACTGATGCGTTGCTTTTTTAACCTTATGATGTTATATGATTTGCATAGTTTAGCCGAATTTCTAAACCGTTGATTCGGTTTTTGCTACCCGATGACCGTCAGGAGTCGGTTATCAGAACGATGGATGTATGTGTAAAAACTTTTCTGCTTTTACTGACATAATACATAACTATAATCGAAATTGTGCTGTTTCAATCTGCCTGAATCCTGTGAAAACTAGAAAGGAAAGGAAATTGCTGTGCTGTTTGTTATGGCAAAATGTCAGAGCAGAAACGATTCTTACAGTATGATTCGATGTCAGCAGGAGGGACAACAATAAGAAAAAGAATGTGTTGATTCCATGTTTTAGTCACTTTGCTGTTTTTATTTGTTATTATTAATATACGGTCGCATAAGCCTTTTTTACTTACGCCATCGAAAACAGCTGTTTTCGTACAAGTCGGTGTCGCCGTCGCCGTCCGCGAAGTATTCTCTCGGGTCGCTGACGGCTGTCCAGCTGATGGTCAGAATGTCGCAGGTGCTGGGCGACGACGGTCGCAGCTGAACCGCTCTGCAGATGCCTCGCATCAACGCGCACTCAGCCAAGCACTGCTCCTTGCTCACAATTCGCGTCGCCCTCGCGGGGGGACTGGCGACGAACCACCGACTCTTCAACCGTTTACCCGGCCTCCGTTCGAACGCCCACGGCTGGTCGCAGATTCGGTTCGCTAAGATGTTTGCTTATATGCACAGGGTAAATAATCAACCAACGTTACGGTTACGGCTGTGGCACAAGAATCGTAGCTGTCGACTTTTAGATGATGCCGGCCTGATGGCCTTCTGGGTCTGTGTAGAGGTGTTCGGTGCTTCCCGCGGTGAGACGTGGAAATATGAACCTGTTTGGGCAGCTACACACAATATAATGTACTGTAGACGATATTCAGCATAACACTCCTTGTCTGACTCTGGCTGGTCCTTTTGTAATGGCATAATTCAGTTGTATAGGCGCGTTTTTAAAATTAGCCGATCATCACCAACCAGAAATTTGGTAATCTCTCAGGAATGACACGCCAGCCAATCACATCGGTTCAAATGAGAGTTGAAAAATTGGCTTTACAAGTGACGCAAGTCTTCGACCCCCTCCCCCAACCGGTTGGCGTAACGAATCCGTGCCAATTCTTTGGATTCGCACGGCGTAGACGCACCGTTCTCTTGGTTTTAAAAACTTATGAGATGTTTCAAGTCGGTCATCGCTTCATCGGGTAATACCACCAGTAGTAATGGATGTAAAGTTGTTGAACAACCTCTGAAACCGATCTTAGAACTGGCTACAGCAAATCATGTCTTTTCCAGACCAAGTTCAATGGGGAACAAGACGGTGCTTGAAGTAAAATATAACTAATTTATTACAGTAAAATTGCTTCACAAATTTATTTACGAAATATAATTTCAAATCGGTGCTGCCTCGTTCTTCTTGAAACTTTCTTTGAAAGACTGCAGTACGTTCAAAAAATGTATTCTTTTTTTAGAACTGGGAAAATCTTTTGAGGTGTCTGTCTTCCAGGTGCAGATGTATTTGCAAATGGGCAAGAAACGAATCAGAATGAATATCGATGATCCCCTGAAAGCTTGGCACCACTATGGAACCAGTAACGGAAACGTCTGACTCTATTCGAGTGAGTTCTATTCTGTTAATCTGTGTATGAGAATATCAGTCGTTAGCATATTAAGATCAGATCCGCGAATCCTGTTACCTTCTTTTACTCCTGTTTTTTATGATTGCTTTTTGTGTGCCCCTGTTATTAAGCATGCAGACTAATTTGCCGGGCTGTTGAAACAATTAGTTGGAATTAATTTTACACCCTCCTCTCGCAAGTTGGAGTAGTACCGTTTTTTGTTGATTGAAAGTTTGTATTTATGCTTAACGATAAATTATTTTTCAGTTGGCTCATCGAGCATTTGGTGGTTCAACCCAAATGAAGAAGCAATTATACTTCTAGTCCCTGGGAGGTTTTCCATTCTTCCAGAAATAAGGAGACAATACGATTAAGCTGTGTATATCCAGGGAAGTCAGGAAGTCATGAACACCTTTACAATATCTTGGTATTACTATTTACTAATTTTCTCGAGTAAGGAACTTGCAACGCGTTGTTCAGCCGGTATAATGTCGAACTCTCCACCCGAGTTCAACTTCAACCCCGGTCGGGGTCACTCGCCCTTCCTCGTTTGAGGTTGATGAATCAGTACCATTGTTTGGGAAGGAAACAAGAGGCTGCACGCTACGCTTGCAACGTGGCTGTAGACTGTGATTTTAAAATAAGGTACTTCTGACTGATGGAACAGAAATCAGAACCGTTACCATCAGCTTCATGAAAAGAAGGACACCATTATGGCCCAGTTATGAAAATGAAGGAGGACCGAATTTCAACCTTGACAAACTTTTTTTCTTTTCCTAGACCTAGACCTTTCATTATCTGTATAGCGCCAGCCATGTAGTATGTGGCATGCTCACGCTGATGTCGTAATGCACGTGTGCTGGTATAGCAACACGTCAAGGCTTTCTCGTCTTCTCGTACACGTTTGAGAGTGGACAGTGAGAGAAGTATGGTATCATGTGACAGGACGAATGAGGGTCGGAGATTCGTGTAAGTCAAGATTGAGGCCTTGTACTAAAAGAAGGACATTGTGACAAAAATCCCGAATTGAAAAAGGCAGATGTTGGTCAGTACTTCTCCCTCAGCACAGCCAAAAATAGCATCATGTCAATGTAACTATGCTGCAGAAAAGCAGGGAGTAGATTAACAGAAAAATTTTCCCAGTGTCATCTAGTTTCGAGTACATGGCGTAGTTTCTGAGGCACTTAAGTGTACAAATGGCCACCAAGATTCTGGATGGCCCATTCGGTCTACTGCACGACAGCCTCGCTCGGTGTCGGTTGTAAAGTGCATCGTGCATCCACCAGATCCTACCATCCTACTCCTTTCCGAAGGAACTTTGTGAACAACATAAGACATCTAGAAAGAATTATATCCAGCATTCTTCTGTCCTGCGATGAATCACGTTTTAAGGCAATTTGTAGATTATGATTGCGATTAAATTACCCCTAGTGAGGGAGGTAGGGTACAGAGGAGTGGCAGTGGCTGAATCACAGATTATGCAAGGTCTCGTGAAAGGGAAAGACGCTAACTGTAGACCTTGAAAGTGGCAGCCATAGTCTCTGAGGCCAATCGGCGTCCAAAACTGACAGACTCGTCACTTCTGTTGGTTTAAAAGTCCTGAGGTATTGAAGATACATACTAATTATCCTTTTATCGATTTTATACCCTGCTACATCGATTACTCGAAATCACTGTTTAGCCGTTCACGTGGATATTCATGCTTCAGTAATGTTGTGCTTTGTAGTCTACCGCAGTTCTGGTATTGTCCGATGTCCGTTTGGATACGCCGGCATACGGTGCATTAGCGTTTTTTAGGACTTCGACCAGGTGGAACTTTGAGGAAGAAGGGGACGCGTTCTCCTTGCCGAGAAGCGTGACCTTTACATACGTCCTCAAGTTGTCACGGTGAGGGAAAAACGTTTCGCTAGACAGCAGCGGCGGTCACGATCTCATTCCCCTCTTAGAGTAGCAATGTTCTTTGCCAGTAACCATTAGCAGAATACGCAACTTGGTTTGCCGTGGTACTGCGCATACCGCGGGAAGGCAGCGTTGTGTCATCTTGTGAAGTCCGCTCAGCTCACCTAAGGCAAGTACGGTAGATTTCGTTGTCAGGACATTTTTCGTTGCACAAGGTTCCATCCAACGATGTTTTGTCATTCAGCTATTTGAACAGTACATGCAACGAGGACGGTTGCCATGCAGCCGACACAGAAACCACAAGCGGGTAGCGGAGGCCGATGACCTTCAGTGAATCAACTCAAAGAGTGCGGTGACCCTGTAGCCAGTGCCGTTGCACCAGGGGTTACGTGACGCCGGCCGCCACGTTAGTGCCACGCTGTTCAGCGGTGCGTGTTAAGTGACCTCCGTGTCGGCGAGTGATTTTCCTCCTAAGCTCCTAAGTAACCGTCGATGCCACGGTTCAGTGACAAGATGTACGGTGTTCTGTTGCCGGCGTTCCTTGTATGTGATAAATACCGACGGATGAAGGGTGTCAAGCCATTCGATAATATGACTCCTTTCACTGTTACGTCATCTTTCCATTTACATTTTAGGATTTTCCGTTGCTACCGTAATTCTGTAGTCCATAGTCTCAAACCGTTTTCTTCAGCCAGTGTTCTCTTTTCTTTGAGCACCAAATTTTCCCTGACACACTTGCGAAGAGGAGACGAAGCAAAAGTGGCGGAAGCGCTTCGCGTCACATCTAGGTCGTGAAACCTTCAATGCAGCTAGTTCGCAGGACATTACTTGGCACTGTCGTGTAGGATTTCGCTGATGCGCTAATGCTAAGACTTATCGTAGCCTGAATAAAATCTGCGTCTTAATCCAGATCTATTTAATACGATATATGTCGTCGTTTGGCTGCTTAGATTAATCATATTATTTTAATTAATTATTCATGCGCGTAGCTCTGTTTTGAGGGTAATAATTAAGGTAGCGATTTTGGTCACGACTTTCCAGAGAAATTCTGATCAGGTGGTATTCACTAACAGAGTTGTGGTTTCCGTTTGTTACTTTGGCTTGGCTTGGCTTTGGGCGTCACTACTTGTAATTATGCAGATTGGTTAGCATGACTTTGCCGTTACGTTGAGCGATATCGATGCGAGATTAAAAAATTCCTTACCGGTCGGCAGGCATGTCTTTTGGGCCAGGTAGCACCTTTGGTAGTGGTCGAGGTCGTGGACGCTGCCGTTCTCTTCTCTGCTCGCTTCGTAAAGAACGCACAACGGTTGCTGCAGGCCAACGTATGGACAGAAGCCCACGCTGCGGCAGTTTCTGCCTTCGTGCCGGCAGTGCAGCAGGCAGCGTTCCAAAGAATCGGCGGTCAGGTTGCGGTAAACGACACCGGTCACTCGATGCCTGTCGATGGCT